ACTTCTTGTGTTTCCATCCCATCACCCATCAAGCTGCCTTGAGCTTGATGTTATTGAGCTAATAACTGTCATGAAATTGTATTGTAATTTAACCACTGAAACACCTTCTCCTTTTTCTGTTTGCTTTTTCAAACAAACACATTCATCCAAAATATACACAAAGGAGAATTTAGGGCAAAGACTGCTTTATTGCAATATTGCAATGTCATGCAAATCCATAAAGCAGAGCACAGGAAAAATGTGTATAAAGCTATGCATTCTAATTATACTCAATCTATTATTAGAGTTCAGTGTTTTTTATATTAGTGGTCCTGCTATTCTGGAACTATTCAAACACCTAAATAAAAATGTGATCAAGAAACAATTTTACTTCACCAGTCACATCATGGGAATGTCTCCCTTTCTTTTCTCCACAGGAACCTAACATGTTCAGTGACTCTATATTTTCTGTTCTTCAAATGGTGACATAACGGGGGGCAGGGAGGGGGGAGTCCAATATACACACAGTGTCTGAGAGCAGCTGGTTAAAACCATTTCCTCTTCAGAGACTCTTCAGTGAGTGGCTGGCAGATCTGTTCTCCCTATTCTGAACAAGGGGTGTGCAAGACAGGCTTGCTTCTCACTAAATCCCTTTTGGACAAGAAACCAGTCTATCCTGCCATCCTCTAGTAACATGCATGGAATGACTCATGTTCCATCTGTTTCTGCTGCTCAACTTATCATTTGTCTCTGGGTCTGAGATGCCCAGCACGCTTTGGGGCCAGAAGAAATTCCCATTCTCTGACATGAAAATGGGGATTTCCTAAGAGGCAATACCCTTCTCTAATGTGTTTCTGATCCAAAGTTAGAAGTCTAGCTGAGCAGCTGCAATAACAAAGGCAGGAGGGTACCATTCCTAATGTTTCAAGTCAGGGGTCAAGATACCTCATTCCAGAAGACACACTGTGGTAGAGGGGGACAGATTCAAGACAGGAAGAATAGACCTTCCAGCCAAGAATCAGAAAATGGCATGTGAAGTTGCTATTACAGATATTGGAAGAAAAAGACAGACACTGAAGCCCACTGGCTACCTATCCTCAGAGCACTCAGGGGTCAGTGGGCTGGGGAGCCTGTGTGATATAAAGGTCCTGTATTTTGTTGTCAGGAAAGAGATTTTAAGAACTTCTTGCGGGTAAATCCCTGCACCTACCCAGAGTCCTTCTGAAGTCAAAGGACACTGCTCAGTATAGGATGGAGAGCTAAATGTTTGAGTGCAAGACTGGGCATCATTGTTTTCATTGAGATACTGTAGTATAAGAGTTTGTGACTGATTGTAAAATCTCAGACTACACACTTGTTACCCTAACTACAGAATATAATTGTAGGTCTCTCATCTCATGACAATATAAAGCAGAGAAATTGATTTTTTTAAGTGAGAATTTAAACGTCTCATTAAAATAATCTGCAAAACCCTTCAAAACAAGAGTGAAATACTTGTGTGAAGAGTGAGACATGTTTTTAAATTCCTCTAAAATGAGTGAGTTTCTTGTCATCTCTGCAGTTGTTCTGGAGGTGGGTGAATTACATAATTTGGGGGTGGGAGAGATTGTATAGTGCAAAGTAGGATTTTTTTTTTAAAAAAAACCTTTAAGACATTTATTGAAAGCATTATAAATTTTCAGTTATTTATACCTGATTGATAGGTTAGCACCTTAGGTATCAGGTTTAAAATAACAATGGCCTTTAAAAAAAAATCCCCTGACCCTATTCTCCCAATCAGTCTCACATATATAGCGTGATACCCATTATAGTCTTCTTCAAGATAATGCTATGCATCTCTCTCCTCATGTGCTCCTCCCATGGCAAAAGGCTTATTTGGGTCCCCTCCACATACAGATGTGCAACCAAAGACAGATAGTTAGCAGTGCTGAACAGACATCTACCAGAGAGCAAGCTGAATTCTATTAATAGAATCAAAGAAGATTAGGGTTGGAAGAGACCTCAGGAGGTCATCTAGTCCAACTCCATGCTCAAAGCAGGACCAACTCCAACTAAATCATCCCAGCTAGGGCTTTGTCAAGCCAGGCCTTAAAAACCTCTAAGGATGGAGATTCCACTACCTCCCTAGGTAACCCATTCAAGAGCTTCACCACCCTCCTAGTGAAATAGTGTTTCCTAATATCCAACCTAGACCTCGCCCACTGCAACTTGAGACCATTGCTCCTTATTCTGTCATCTGCCACCGAGAACAGCCTAGTTCCATCCTCTTTGGACCCCCACCCCCCGCCCTTCAGATAATTGAAGGCTGCCATCAAATCCCCCCTCACTTTTCTCTTCTGCAGACTAAATAAGCCCAGTTCCCTCAGCCTCTCCTCATAAATCATGTGCCCCAGCCCCCTAATCATTTTCGTTGCCCTCCACTAGATTCTCTCCAATTTGTCCACATTCTTTCTGTAGCGGGGCCCCCAAAACTGGACACAGTACTCCAGATGTGGCCTCACCAGTGCCGAATAGAGGACAATCATTTCCCTCGATCTGCTGGCAATGTTCCTACTAATGCAGTCAATTATGCCGTTAGCTTTCTTGGCAACAAGGGCACACTCTTGACTCATATCCAGCTTCTCATCCACTGTAACCCATAGGTCCTTTTCTGCAGAATTGCTGCTTAGCCAGTCGGTCCCTAGTCTGTAGCAGTGCATGGGATTCTTCCATCCTAAGTGCAGGACTCTGCACTTGTCCTTGTTGAACCTCAGATTTCTTTTCGCCCAATCCTACAATTTGTCTAGGTCACTCTGGACCCTATCCCTACCTTCCAGCATATCTACCTCTCCCCCCAGCTTAGTGTCATCCATGTCTTCTGACTCACATACTCCTAAAACAATTGTTACATACTCTATATTCCAGTGACAGAATCTATCATTGGTGAGTATGTAAGTCTGAAAGAGCCGAGCTCGACTCTCAGATCTCAGGCTGGGTTTGCATAGATGGCACTTACAAAACACTTTTTCTTCTTTTCTTTTTCTTAATTTACTTCCAAACAGAGAAATTTTGATCTGGAAGCTGCTACAAACGTTTTACCATTGCTTCTACCTAATGCCATTTTTATAGTTATTGAAGAATAAAAGAAGAGGAAAAAGATTTTTTTAAGGGGGGGAGGAGATATTTCTGATCTTTTGCTTGTTGATATCATCATATCCTTCCTTGTAACCTAAATCTTGTAGCCTTTTACGACCAGTTTTGATTTTTTGGGGGGGGCGGGGGAGAAGCGGGGTGTAACCATTCACCTCCTGTTTCACTTTCTTAATCTATTTTAGGCAACTTTTAAAAATTAATATTTTATACTCCAGAATTTTTTTTTCTTAAATGTCCATGTATTTAAGCAGTTCTTTAAAAATTATATTTTGTTGCTGATGTTTTCGGACGCTGTCCCAGTAATGTTTATGAACTCCACTGTAATTATTAGCTGAAGAGGCGTACTAGCTGTAAAAATAATTCTCATGAAAACTCAGAGAATAAACTTATAGAGCACACAAATGAAAAGTTTTATGCTACTCAACCTCAACTGATTTTATTTTTCAAGTACTAAAAGTGATTAGTGAAAAATATTATGGAAAAATCATTTCTACATTTTTTTCATTGGTAGCACGTTCAGATTAAGAGTTCAAAAGCAAAATTAGTGAACTCCATGTTTTATACATCTTAAAATGGGTAAAGGTATTGCTAACAAAAATTAATTCCTATCTAGAGGCCTGATTTTGTAAACACTTATCCACATTAGTGCCATTGATTTAAATGTAACTACATACAGATAAGTGATTGCAGGGTTGGTCCTAGATCTAGACAAAGCTTGTCTACAAGAAGATATTGACTGGCTATTCCAGAATAACTGGAATAATATTCCACTACAGCTATTCTGGAATAACTGCCTGTATGGACACCCTTTTATTCCAGAATAAAATCCATTTTGAAATAAATTACTCTGCTTTGGAAGTGGACTAATTATTATGGAATAGAACAATTTATTCGGGAATAGAGTGTCCACACAGAGGAGTTATTCCAGAAAAGCATTGTGATGGGTACCCAGAAGAGTAGGGGCACTGTTAATGCTTTGCAGACAATTTTGAAAAGCTCATTGTATTATTCACACAATGGATTCTCCTTTATACAGCTTAAGGAATCCAAACAGGAAGCAGTAACTATGCAAATAAATATATATATCAAATACTCAAACTAATCACTTCGCAAACACACTATAGGTTGAATTTGTTTGAAGAAAGTGTTCATCCAAAAGTTGCTAATAATCAACAAATTAAAAAAAAAATCATTACCTCTTTGTTGTGAATTTGCAAAGAGAAAAAAGATTAAATGTAATAAAAATGTATTGGTTATGAACAATTTGATCAACCCTCAGCCTGACATTGCTAGCTGAGTTCCTGCCCAGAGTAAAATTTTATGGCCAAGTTAAACACCTGAAAATAGGGGTTTATAAATGGTAGCATCATCAGAGCCTTCACTCTAGTAGTGTCAAGAGCTTTGCTAGAATACATTTTATGGATTTTAAGTGAAACATGTACTGTATCACATCCTACTATTATATTACCAGATGGCTGTCCATAGAGCTGTACAACTGCAAGCAGATCATGGAGGGTGGGGGAACAGAATTCTATGTCCAGCCAAAAATGCTTACTTGCTTCCTTGATATTTGTATTTGTTTTGAATACAAACATACATTCTTCTCATATACAATAAACCTGATTCAGATCAAAATTCAATCATAATTAATGCTCAAAATTCTCCAATAATTATGCTGACATCAGCACACGCACACAGTGATAAAGGAACTGTGGATTAAGCTGTGCATAAATTCACTAATAAGAGAAAAGGTCACGGGCTGATATTACTGAAATTTGATTAGACTCAGGATCTATGTGCTAGAAATCAATGTTTTCTTGGCTTTGGCATTTCTGCTCTGGAGTTAGCCAATCTCTAGGGGCCCTGCATCTAATCGCAGGATGTACCAGTGTTACATCCTCTCCTGAGCACAAAGACAGCAAGAAATTAGAAAGGATTTACAGGTCAGAACAGATAGGCTTTGCAGTTCCTACAGCTGAGTAGCTTGGGAAGCTGAAGAGGAAAAGCTGCAGCTGTGACTGTGAAGCTGAAGTAACTGTCATTTTGGTCAATGCCCACAGGAAAGGTAAGCCCAATGTTGGGGATTTTACAGCTCTTTCATAGCTTCCAAGAACAATCTAATCAAACAAGGATGAGTCCACAAACGGTTCTGCACATAAACATTGCTGCAAAGTTGTTACAAAAATGGGAGTTACAACAGTAATTTAATCCCGAATAAAAAATAAAAAAGGCCCCCAAAGCAGGATTTAAATATACGCTGCTTCTATAATATGAAACCTGACAGATAAGGGGAAATAATGAAAGTTTCCTAACTCTCTCTTGATCCATATGTTGTTCTCGGCTTGAACGTTAGGCTGAACTCCTGCTGTATGATTTGGTTTGCCTCTGCATGTTCACCAAGCAATTAAACTGACTGTCAAATGTAAAATATTGCAGTAGCAGTTTTTCATGAGGAGGAAGAAGAGAAACAGTGATTCCTGAAACTAATAAAAATATAGAGAAGATAAATATAGGGCCTGATTCTTCTCCCTCACTGGCATAAAACAGGAGTAACTCCACTGACATCAGTAGAGTTACACAGGCGTAAATGAGAGGAGAATCAGGCCTGCATGGCCAAAATAAAAATGATCAGTAACAGAACAATAGCTAACAATAATCAAGATAGCATCTGCCCCAGCTCTGCTGGCTGTTAGAAAGGTGAATGATCTTATTGACTAAATCAAATGGAAGCCCCAGACCTAAAAGGCTTACTGGGGTGTGGGAGAGGGGAACACTCTTCTTCCCGTATAGGAAAAAACAAAACAACACAAGAGCTAGATCTGCCAGCTTAATTGACATTAGCTATAATTCTACTCCACTTTGTGCAGTGTTTTATGTTGTATTGTTTGGAGTCTGTGCTCTGGATTTGGAAAGGATACTACATAGTGCATGTAAATGTATTTAAGAAAGGGGGGAAAAACTGAAAAGTTATTACGGGGGAGAGAGAGTGCTGATAGGTAATGGACTGAAATTGGGTAGAGAGCTCAAACTCAACAAAGGGAGAGAACAGGCCCTCTCCAGATGTCTTGTTTTGCACTGGGTTTCTTTCACAGATATTCTGAACCCTGTCTAGAGCTCACTGGACCAAGCAGCTGCTCAATCTGGTGGAGATGACTTTGTGGAACCCACTATGGAATTGGACTGGAAAAGTGCAAAGTGGAGTGGGACCTGGTGGTGTGATATTTGGTGGACTGGAGCAGACAGGGTAAGAGAGCTGCTTCCTGATGACCATGTGACCACCACTGAGTCTAAATGGATTTGAGAGTGAGATTGGAGGTGAATGGGGATTATTGGTGAATCAGAGTTCTTGTCTTCAACAAGCTGGACGATTATTCACTGGGACCCTCATATAATGCTTAGGTTTTGCTGGTTTCACTTCTTTATATGGTTATGTTTTTCCCAAATAAAAGATATTGGTGATTTTGTATTGATAAGGAGCCCTGGATGCTTGTGATTGGGGAAGAAATGCCTGTAAAGTTGACTGAAGGGGCTACAACCTGGGAGTGGATGAAGTTTTATAGGATGCCTGAGCCAAAACATTTATCAAAGGACCCATAGATAACATTGAACTTTTTATACTGCTGCTAATGCCACCAGGCAACAGGGTTCCACAAAACAAAGAGAATTAAGCATGAACATACCCCCAAATAATGAAAGCCCTCACCATGCTTCAGAGACCACTTTTTCCTCCATACCATATGTATAGCACCACGGAAACCATTTAATTTCTCTTGATCTTCTTATCCAGACAATAGTGTACCTGTGGCCTCAATATTTCTAGTGATATGAGATACGCAGACCCAGTTTGAGATGTGATTAAGATAGGGATGCTCATCCTTACTGTACTAGGGGAATTATGCATGGAATGCTTTTATTTAAACAAAGCAGCTGTCTTTTCACATCAGGTGAGAGTTACCATTATCCCTACCTTATCAGAATGTTTAGATGGAGCTGCCACTTGACTGGAATGGCTGAAGAGAATAAAACTTTTAAACTGTGCTGTGAGCCTTAAAATTATACTCTCCACAAGACCCAGATTTAAATGGAGACTTGTATCATGATATTCTAGATGGGCTCTCATTCCTGGAAACTGTCTCCCCCACTGGTCCATCACAGCCTAAATTTGTTCAGTCTCAAAGGTTGATGTAAGCCACCATGTGTCACACCGTAGTCAGAATAAGTGAGCCGCTAGTCAATATGGAGACTTGTATCATGATATTCTAGATGGGCTCTCATTCCTGGAAACTGTCTCCCCCACTGGTCCATCACAGCCTAAATTTGTTCAGTCTCAAAGGTTGATGTAAGCCACCATGTGTCACACCGTAGTCAGAATAAGTGAGCCGCTAGTCAATACAATAAAGGGAAAGAGTAGAAAAAACATGAAAATATAGAAAAATAATTAAAATCATGTAAGACCCTGTGGGAAGAAAGATAATTCAAACCACAAAAACTCAAACAGTGTCACAGAAAGTATCCCTTTATAAATTCTTTCATGAAAGATAGAAAAACAGCTGCAATCCTTACTATTCTCTCCCAACCACCCAGAATAAGCTCCTTGAACTCAAGCAAATTCCACACTAAATAAATCTATTGGGGGCCAGAGCAGGTGTCTGCCTCGGCTAAATTCATGAAGTGAACTCATGGATGGAGCATACTTTCCTGTTCCTTAACTCAACCCCTAATAGGTTCTGGCCAATCAGTCCCCTTCACCTGACTCACAATGGATTATTAATCATAGAATATCAGGGTTGGAAGGGACCTCCAGAGGTCATCTAGTCCAACCCCCTGCTCAAAAGCAGGACCAATACCCAATTAAATCATCCCAGCCAGGGCTTTGTCAAGCCTGACCTTAAAAACTTCTAAGGAAGGAGATTCCACCACCTCCCTAGGCAACACATTCCAGGATTTCACCACCCTCCTAGTGAAAAAGTTTTTCCTAATATCCAACCTAAACCTCCCCCACTGCAACTTGAGACCATTACTCCTTGTCCTGTCCTCTTCTACCACTGAGAATAGTCTAGAACCATCCTCTCTGGAACCACCTCTCAGGTAGTTGAAAGCAGCTATCAAATCCCCCCTCATTCTTCTCTTCTGCAGACTAAACAATCCCAGTTCCCTCAGCCTCTCCTCATAAGTCATGTGTTCCAGATCCCTAATCATTTTTGTTGCCCTTCGCTGGACTCTTTCCAATTTATCCACATCGTTCTTGTAGTGTGGGGCCCAAAACTGGACACAGTACTCCAGATGAGGCCTCACCAATGTCGAATAGAGGGGAACAATCACGTCCCTCAATCTGCTGGCTATGCCCCTACTTATACACCCCAAAATGCCATTGGCCTTCTTGGCAACAAGGGCACACTGTCGACTCATATCCAGCTTCTCGTCCACTGTCACCCCTAGGTCCTTCTCTGCAGAACTGCTGCCTAGCCATTCGGTCCCTAGTCTGTAGCGGTGCATTGGATTCTTCCGTCCTAAGTGCAGGACCCTGCACTTGTCCTTGTTGAACCTCATCAGATTTCTTTTGGCCCAATCCTCCAATTTGTCTAGGTCCCTCTGTATCCTATCCCTACCTGCCACCGTATCTACCACTCCTCCTAGTTTAGTATCATCCGCAAATTTGCTGAGAGTGCAATCCACCCCATCCTCCAGATCATTTATGAAGATATTGAACAAAACCAGATACAGATGTTCAGTTTGCAGCTTTCAGAAACCAATCCCCTGAACCTCAACATTCTCTCTGATGGACCAGTTATTTCTGGTAATATGTCCTTTATTCTTGGTGTTTGTCTGAAGAGGGTGGATGTGAAGGTGAGGGCAGAAGATGATTTTAGAAAGGATAGAGTTATTTTGGTGAGGCAGTTTTTATATTAATTTATATAGAATAAATGGACCAAAGATATTAACATAATCCAGTCACTGTCCAACATGAAGCAGTGATAAACAAGGTTCGGGGTTTGGTATACAGAGACCTTAGCCTGCTTTTATACTTTTATTAAAGATAAAGCAAAGAAGGAAAAACAAACAGTTACAACATTTGAAATGTAAATCAGGCTTTCATTTTAACAGCATCTCTTGTTTGCTTTTCCTTCAGCTGGAGGGATTTTCTGGAAGGAAAAACTCTTGCTTGACAGTCTCTTATCAAAGATGATAACTGTCCTTTTGGGGAAAACAGAAAAAGTTAGTTAAGAAGAGCTGGAACTGTTGTTGTTAAAATCTGTTCCCATTTCATCCAATGTGGTATTAGGGATTCAGCTGGAGCCGGTAGAGGTGGTGATGTCATCTGGCTCCCTTTCTCTGGCCCAATCTGGTCAGGACCTCTCTCAGGATCAGGATGGCAAAAGCCCAGGATCTCAGACAATGTTCCCTTTAATTTTTCCCATCCATGTGTGGAATGAATTTTGCTATGTGCACCAGTATGGAGGGGATGTGTGGCAGGGATGGGGTGGAGGGGTTCGTAATGTGGGAAGGGGCTCAGGGCTGGAGCGGAGGGTTGGGGTGTGTGTGGGGGGTGAGGGCTCCAGCTGGGGGTGCGGGCTGCCCTGTGGCTGTGGCAGGGAGAGAGGACTCCCACCAAGCCCTCTCTCCCTGCAGCAGCACCTAAGCTGGGGGAGTGTCTCTCCCTGCCACAGAAGTCTGGGACTGGGGAGAGGTGCCTCTCCCTGCAGCAGCAGCTCCGGGACTAGGGCTGGGGGAGAGGAAAGGCATGTCTCTTTGCTGCACCACAGCCCCAGGGCAGTGGGAGTTAAGTGCTTGGCCCTTTGAGCCCTCCTGTGCAGCTGCACACTTTAGAGGAACTTATGTCTCAGAAGACCATAGGGATGGCAACCATGATGGTGAAGCTCACTCTAGTAGCCATTTTTTTCTCTGAAAGTCTCTTTCTTTAAAAGGGTAGGTGGAACAGCCCATCCCCTCATTATTTTGTCCGCCAATTAGGCCTAGTTTCTGAGACACCAATTTTGGTTTACTGATTTCTGGTGCTATACTTTTGTTGTTCACCAAACATACTGTGAATACAATCCTGGAATGATATCTGTAGGCCTTTTGTTTGGACTTAGTTTTTCGGTCTCCCTCTCATGACTTTTCCCATCAACATTTGTTGTGACATCTTTTAAACTTGTGCTCATTTATGACAGTTGAGCTCACAACCAGGGTCAATTTGTAGGCCCAATCATCACAACATTTCATTTGATATTATTTATGAGTTGTTCGGAGATTTTCTTTATAAAAGACAAAAACAGTAATTAAATAGAACTCATTTGATAATAATCCGATCCAATAGCTGCCTGGAAGATATATTCTCTTTCACAGGTAGCTATCATCCCGCAAGGAACTTCATGAAACTGCAGCTCCCAGGCAAACGTGATAAGTGGCATGAGGCCAGCCACAGAGAATGTTTTGAAACACTTCAGGTTTTCTGGTGTTTAGTGTCAGAGCGTATTCCAGCCCAAGGAAACCAGGAAATGTAAAAACTTGGGGAATATGTCAGGATACAAAAGTAAGAAATGGCAGGTGTTACAATGATGGCTGTCTCATAATGCATTGGAAAGCAAAAGACCTTAGGCCCAGATCCTCCATTGTTGATGGGCTGCACTTGGCACAAGACAGTAGAGGCAAAGATCATGTCATGTCACAATGAGTCCTGCATCAAAACACACTTGTCTGCCTTTTCGTAATGTAATTCATCATTGCATATTTTGATGGGTATGAGAAACCTAAAAAAATGTGCCCTCCACCTTCATTTTTTCCTAACATTTCTCCCTAAGTGAGAGTGTTGCAACCATGTACATTGGGATTCCCAACTAAACTTTAATTTAAATAATACTGGGCCTGACCTTGGGACAAGAACCTACCAAACCTCAAAGTGTTAATGGGGAATTCTTAAACAATCAATAGATCAGGCAACAAATGTACATAAATATATAGGTGCTCTGATTCAGTTTATACTCATTTTTATATATTTGAAAGAGTTAACAGGGAGAAAAGTTGTATATGGGAATTATGGCATGTTAATTCTGGAGTGTCCCAGTAAACTTGGAGATTGATGAGGATAAAAAGATTTGCTTTATACAGTGTTCATGGTCCATGTCTTTCTTAGCATCATGCTGAGCAGCCACAGTAGATTAGAACTGTGAAAGCATAATGCTACATTAAGTTGTTGTCTTGACTTCAGAAAAGGCATGTGGAGGACTGCTATTATGACAGTCC